CTGTTATGGACTACTGGACTCTTTTAGAATATTTTGCTGAGTTAACACACCTATAATATTCAAATAACGGAACTAAACAAAAAAGGGGATACAGATGAATGTCCATTTTGTATCTGTGTATTCAAAATGGTTAGGATACATTCTCTTAATGAATACAGGGATTTGTTCTAACAGAGTTTGTAAATAGGATATCATGCCCATATCTTGTACAGCAAATAACCACTAGGAAGAATGTATGCAATGTGTTAATTATTGACACTGTCCTACCAATTTGGTTTGAAACTGTCTCATCAATATTTGTGTAGCAATAAAATTATGGAAAAAAGAAAAGAAATGAAATGGTGGGAGGGAGAAACTGGCTCTAGCAGAGTGATCTTGGACAGAATTGACTGTTTCATTTCTCACCAGAGACAAAAAGTCTTTCTCGCAATTACTATTTAATTACATTATACAAGTCACAACTACTGAACAAAGTCCAGCTTTTAGACCCAAGCCAGACAATGTTCAGGGAAAATCACAAAACAGATCAAGGAAAAAATCTATTCACATTTTCAGTATTCTAGTGACTTTTGTAGCTCATCAAATTAATGGCCATACTTTTTATACTGTATTTAAAAATACTTCCTGTTGTACCTTTTTTTCCCCCCACAAGAACAGCTTTGTCATGCTGTACTTTCAAATCAAACTTTAGAAGAGTCAAAATTCACTGTAACTAACTGCTTTGGGGCCGGAAATAGCTCAGTGGTCTAAAGCGCCTGCTTAGGCAAGTGCAGGCCAAGTGCAGGGACCATGGTTAGATCCTCAGCACAAGCAATGCCAGCCCCACCTCCAGGGTGGGCTGAGCCGGCCACACACACACACACACACACACACACACACACACACACACACAGAGCCAATTAACTGTTTACTTCAGACTTCTATCCAAATGATCCTGGTTCACAGTGCATATAAGGTAACATTAACAAAGCAGAGTTATCCGACAGAGGGAGTCAGTTCAATGTTAACTCATATCCATCTTTAAAAAACATCAGAGCCCATGTTAAGAGAAAATCAGCCCACATACCTCCATGACAGCAGAATATTTTCTCATCCACGATGGCTGCTATTGGTAAACAGTTAAAACAGTCTGTGAACGTTTTCCATAGTTTAATGTTGTATCTTCTTTTACCTGTGAAAATTTAGACAGTTCAATAATTTAGTGTTCTGTGGCTTCCTTCTTTCAGGGTATTTCCGCTCAAAACAAGGTTTTGATTATCTTCACATGATGCTTTCATTAAAACCTCTGGGCTGGGGAGGTAGCTCAGTGGCACAAGTGCTTGTCTGCTAAGTGCAAAGTCCTGAGTTTGATTCCCAATATAAAATAAATAAATAAAACGCAAAAGCTCCCCAAAACCAAAACCTCCTGATCAGCTGAGGATGGCAGTGCATGCCTGTAATCCCAACACTTGAGAGGTGGAGATGGGAGGACTGCTGTGAGTTCAAGGGGAGACTGGACTATCTCGTGAGACCCTAGCTCAAAAAAACAAAAACAATACCATCAAATCTTAGTATTTGGTAGAACCAATTCTGGTTTTTATTTATTTTATTTTAGGGATGCATCTACAGGGTGGTTCAGGGTCTCACTACTAGATCAGACTCATACTGATCTGCCTGTTTACAGCCTCCCAAGAGCTGGGATTACAGGTACACACCACCACGCCCAGTCTCAAACCAATTGTTTTAAATCTAATGTTTTGCTCAATTCCCATCTATAGGTAGAACTTCTGTCTATAGGCAAATATGCACAATTTTTTTTTTTTTTCTGTATTGAGGGCAAGGTCTACAGGGTCTCACTACATAGACCAGACTCATAGTGATTCTCCTGTTTTCAGCCTCCCAAGTGTTTATAGGCACGCACCACCATGCCCAGTCTCAATCACTCTCTCATCACACCCTGCAGATGGGGCTGGCACAGGTTTGAACCCTGGCCGCTGCACTCTGCCTAAGCAGGCACTTTAGTCTGCTATACGTACAATATTTTATGGCTGCCATGACCACTTCCTTCTGATGGTACATGTCTTTAATCTCACCACTTGGAAGGCTGAGGCAGGAGGATCACTGCAAGTTTGAGGCCAGCCTGGGCTACGATTATAAACAGTTCAAGGCTGGCCTGAACTGCACAGTGATACACTGTCTCAAAAACAAAACAAAACCAAGCAGAATAGGGAGTTTAAATGATTAATACAGGACCTGAAGTGGTACATGTACATAACACATCTCTGTTTATCCTTTGGAAGCCATTAATTCCCTCTGTACTCTACCTTCCTTCCCTGGAGGGTCTCGGAAGTTTAAATTTCTCCTTACAAAAAAACGGCTGAAGGGGAATATACATATGCACAACGAACACCTCCAACTTCTAACAGTGATGATCACGATGACACAAAAAAACAGGTCAGACCACTGCAATGCCCATTTAGGATATCTTGATTCAGTCTCCATTTTACTAAAACTGGTCTCTGAGCAATCATCCGCTGGCTTCCCCGGACACCTTTTATATGCTTTATCCTTCCACTAACTTCTTTCTTAAGAAACTGCTTCACACAACACATTGCAGTTTCTCTTGCTTATTCCTTGCTGTCTCTGTTGGCTCATCTATCAAAAATCAGGTTAGCTTTCCTCCTCCTCCTTCTGAGCAGTAACTCTGAACTACACAGCATGAACAAGGTAAGCCTGAACGACATAGCAAGATCCAGTCTGCTTTCAACCAACATTGATCTTCTGAATCATTTTTCTTTCTTCTTTTTGTATTTTAGGGAAGGGTCTATAGGGTGTTCAGAGTCTCACTACTCGATCGGACTGGTAGTGATCCTCCTGTTTTCAGCCTCCCAAGCGCTGGGATTATAGGCCCGAGCCACCATGGCAGGCCCAGGGATCAAACCCCGGCTCCTGCACTTGAGGTGTTTTAATCCACTGAGCTATTTGGCCGGGCCCTGAATCATTTGTAAAGGCCACCTCATTAAGTACAAACCAAAACTGATGGATGCACTCAATACCATTACATTGGATTTATGTTGCAACGAAGAGACTACCTGGATTTGAAATTCATCACAAAAATATTGAAGTACCTGCTGAGGTAAAAACAGCATAAAAAGAATGCTCTTAGTCCAAAGACCAGGGCTGGCCAAATAGCCCAGTGGATGGGGCCAGGGTTTGATCACCAATCCTGCAGTGCAGGCCCCACCCCCAGGCGCACTGAGAGGGTGATTAAGACTGGGCGTGGTGGCACGCACCTGTAATCCCTGCTCTTAGGAGGCTGTAAACAGGTGGATCACTAGGAGTCGATCTAGTAGTAAGATCCTGAACACCCTTATAGATCCTTCTCTAAAAAACAAACCCCACAAAGACCTGTAATCAATATCTAAAACTCACTAAAATAAATATCTCTGCCTCTGAATTTCACTACCTTCTTAGAGTAACTCTTATCATCAGTACTTTTCCCAGAGACAGACTTACTGTTTGTTTTTTTTTTTTAAATTTATTTATTTGTGTGTGTGTGTGTGTGTGTGTGTGGCCAGCTCAGCCCACCAGGGGGCGGGGCTGGTTGGCATGTGGTGCTGGGGGATTGAACCGCGGTCCCTGTGCTTTGCTAAGCTTGTTTTAAGTAGGTGCCTTAGACCACTGAGCCATCTCACCAGCCCC